AACCAATTTGTCTTATCTTCAACCATTTCTCATCAACAGGTTAAGTTTCAGAGCAACAAAAATAAGCAAGGCAATTCCTGAGTTGAAAAGAGGTAATAAAATAAATACGAAAAACTCGCCAAAATTACACATCTCTAGAACTTCAATACCATGAAAAATTATGAAAAGTCTCATGCATGGCATCGTCATAAACCACTGTAATGCTAATAACATCAAATTATTTAAACAGCACAATGTGTGTGTTTGTGTGTGTGTGTGTGTGTGTGCTTTAAACACCTTAGAATCAAAGTTATTTTAATTTATCAAAAAAATGAAAATATAGATTTTAACCACCTACCAACTTTAGATTGAGTCTTGATTTATCATGCTTCGGAAGAGGGCTATTCAAAGCTAGAAGAACGCAGTTTACCCCAATAGTCGCCAGTATGAAATAATCGAAAACCTGATGGAAAAAGTTCACTTCCGTATAGTAGACAGTAATTATAAAACAGTTTCTAGTTATATTATTATTTCTATATGTAATATTCTAAAAACTACTACCGTTAAAAAAAAAGAAAAATTCTGAGAAAAGAACGTAAATTGTTTTCTTAGAACCGAGATAAGACAGATAATCGGTATCGACTCGGTATATCGACTGGTATTGGTACGATACCTTACAGTATCGAAAACATCGGTTATATTGGTATCTACTGATACTGACCGCAGCTCGGGTCTTCACGAGACTACCGCATTTCGGATCTTCACGAGACATATTTTATTTTTATAAACAATGAGCAATTTCAAATAGTAAACTTATATAATAACTGAAATGTAGAGGAGAGTGGAGGCTTTAAAAAGTACGTAAGTGGTTTCCATAATATAGTTACACAAAAATGATATGGGAGAAATCGGAGATCAATTTTTTTTTTTTTTTGTCCCACTTCTTTCTTCAAAAAATTGTTTTTCTGGTGTACTTTTTCAAAATGTCGTTTTTACCACATGCATGTTGCCAAGGCAATGTTAGGTAAATAGAGTGGGAAAAAATCTCTTCGTTTAAATAACATTGATTAGAGACATCTCCTAAAGATTTTTTCAAATAGTCGCCATAAAGTTTTTATTTAATTTGTTATAGCCATATTGGCGCTATTTTTTGGGTATAGCTATCGTGTTATTAAAATGTTGTTTTTCTTTCATGCTGATTCGATTTTCTTCTGATCACCACCTTTCTTGTATGTTTAGGACATTGTCACCCCCTGTAAAGACAAAGCTGAATTGTTCGCTAAGAACTTTTCATCAGTATCATCTCTTGATTCTACTAGTTGTGTAAGCGATATAACCAACAATAACTGATATAAACGACAAACAAGTTGATCCATTGCTTGACATTCCTATCACTCCAGTTTCTGTATCTGTAGTGATTTCCTGTTTAGACTCTTCTACAGCTTGTGGTCCGGACAGCATACCTGTAATATATTCTCTGGAGTTGTAGTCTATACTTTCAAAACTATTTAACAAATGCTTATCAGAGTCTTGTTTTCCGGCATGCTGGAAAGCGGCATCCGTTATCCCTATTTTTAAAAATTCTGGAGAGCGATTTGATTTGTCTAACTACCGTCCCATTAGTCTTTTTCCTATCCTGAGTCTTTTTAGTTTTTAATTAAAAACACCTCCATATTGATGATCAAAAAGTTATTAGATTCATCTTGAATCTTTCTGATCGTCAATATGGATTTCTATCTTATCGTTCTGCTGCTGATTTGTTAAAAGTTATAACTAATAAGTTTTATTGTGCATTAGATAGATGTAGAGAATTTAAGGCTATTGCTATTAACATTTCTAAAGTCTTTGATAAAGGTTGGTATACTGGTCTTCTCCATAAACTTTCTTCTAACGGTGTATCAGTTAACATCTTTAAAATTATTGAATCCTTTCTTTTCAATTGTATTATAAAATTTATCCTCAATGGTAAGCACTCTTCTTCTTATCCTGTAACTTCAAGAATTCCTCAAGTTCCAGTTTTCTTTCTCTTTTCTACAAATACTATAATGGGCCCTGCTCTAAAGAGCTAGCGTCTCTTGTGCCATCTGCTAAAATTTATTCTTTTATTACTCGTTATTCAACTAAGTCTCATTCTTTTACTGTGACTGTTCCTAAGTGCTCCAAAAATTCTTATTCGTTTAGTTTTTTTTCCGAACATCAACTAAAAAGCGATCTTACTTAAGTATTGTTAATAATAAATTCAGAAAGTCATATTTTCATTTATTATTTTTTTATGTTGTTGTGGCTATGCGACCGATCAATACCAGACGATTTTTTTTAATTATTGGTATCGAACCGATATTGATGGTATCGACACTAGTATATAAACAATACCACACGATACGAAACCATCCTTCTCGGTGTTGACTTACACGATACCAATTATCTAGTGTCTATACAGGGTTTTTTAATCGAACATAATAATTTTAAAGTTATTAAAAACTACAACCATTTGTTGCTCAAAAGGTTTCATAGAACCTTTGAATTCTAGAAGGAGAAAAAAACTTTCTCAAATAAAACCTCAAAGCTCTTGTTTATAAAATCAAGTAAAAATATAAAATAGTTTAACAAACAAACCATTTAAAAAATTTTATTAACAGGTGGTAACTTAAAAACTAGTGTTTAAATCGACTAATATATTTTTTAAAGTCGACAAAAATTGGTTAATATATTTTTGAAATTGACTAAAATCGATTAATACATTTTTAAAATCGACTAAAAGTCGATTTAGTCGAAGTATGGCAATAATTTACTTTTTTAAATAAGTTTTAATAAAAATAATAGAGCAATTTATATCCTCATTCTGTTTTTTATTATCATATCATTTAAATAATAATGGAGCAAAGCAATGTGAGAGAAGGACCGCTTGGACAATGGGACAATTTATTCCCAGACGACAATGATTTAGGGACCGCATTAAATACTTTCTATTTATCAAAAAGTCATTACAATCATATTTACGATGTAATGATGAAATTTAAATCCCATTAATCTATACAATCTTTACAAATTTATTTTGACCCAGGACCCTGAACCAGCAGGACCCTGAACCAGCAGGACCCTGAACCAGCAGGAACCTGAACCAGCAGGACTCTGAACCAGCTTGGAGCAGTCCTGTATTAAAGTATTTATGAAAATCACAAGTATTGGGTAAACAAAAGAAAAGAAAATAGTGAAATACATAATTAAAAGTATATTTCGGTATAAATAGTGCTAACATGCTATGAATTAATGAAACTTTAAAAGAGTAAACAAAAAAATAGATAATAGTACATACTATTGTTATTAAATGAACAAACAAATAATAAAGATTGAAAAGTTAAGTCGAAGGAAATCATATGAAGATTTAAATAAACATTGCTTTCAAACATGGTAGCGTTTAGGTCCAATTCACAGCAAATTAAAATTTGTCAGATTCTTTTGAACTTGGACAGCTCATTCACGGAGTTTACTTTGATAACAATTTCACAACTTCAAACACTAGCTATTTATAAGGGGTTTGTGCAAGGATAGCTAAGTTTCATGACTGACCATTATTCTTTGTAGCCTGTCGCCATCATGTTGAAGAGATCCATATAGCCGTAACCACAAATAAAATATTTATGTTTTAACGGAGAATCAACTATTTAAGCCTCTGAAGCAGAGCTGGGATGGTGTTAATACAAACAACGAGACGGTTGCAATTTAATCACCAGAATGTCAATTGCATCTGGTCGGAGAAGCAGGTTCTATTGGCGCTCAAAAGAAACCTGATAAACCGTAAAAAGTTAAGTAATAGTAAGGTAAAGATAAAATAAAGAATTACGTCATTTTAAAATATCTTTTTTCAAAAACAAAATATATAAACTTCTTGTTAAACTTGAAATTATTTACATTTTTCAAATTTAGATTTTTGTGAAGGCGCAAAGATTATGGTGAACTGGCGCAGCTTGCAGTTATTTTTCTTGAAAAAAATTAGACCATCAGTTAAAAAAGTAACAAAGCTGAAACTATTACACACGCTAGGTTTGTGGCAAAGGCATTTTGGTTTATGAAACTTAAGTTGCTTTACCCTAAAATCAGAGTGTTTCTTCCTCTGATAAAGAAGATAAAGTAATCAAATAGATCTAATACAGTAATCATAGATTTCAATAGCTGACTACTCTCTCTCTCTTCTAGGTATTATGGTTTTTAACCAACAATTTTTCTAATTCTGCGGCTTTTAAAGTAAAACTTAATTTTATAAGTTTTGTTTTATCTCATTATTTAAAAATAGTATATTTTATAAAAGTAACAATTAAATTCTTTAAAATTAAATGTTTGCAAAAAGATTTAAACTCAGTTGTAAAAGATAAAGAAAATTGCAAACAAATTTTTGTTTTTCCACTAACAGATTTTTCTTAAAATCAGTAGAAAGATAATAGAAATGAAACCAAGAGAAATAGTACTTTATTTTGTCAAGACAATAGAAATAGCACTTTATCTTGTTTTAGCAGTGTCAATTTAAAGCTTATTTTATTTATAGTGCATTATTTTTAATTTACACTATTAAGATCAACAAGAATTTTGGTTGATGTGCTATTATACTGAATACAAGCCTACTGCAGAGGTGCAATTAAAACTGTGGTAAAACCATACAAGGTGTTTGGATCCGTTAACCGCGGTGCTTGATTTAGCATCTTCTGACTGATATCACTATATATAAATGGTAAAAGTTCTTTATTTGACCCAATGGGAGGTCCAATGAGATATAAAAACGAATAGAATCAAAGCTAACATCCTTCTAACAGCAATGTTGATAAAGATAACTTTGATCAACCATTAGGTCTGGAATTGTATATTTTACCAGATTACTATTTATTTTTTAATATTCTAAGTCATAGTTTGAAAAGTGTAGTCATAGTAGAAAAGTGGATACAAGGATTCTGCTAAGTTGACTGCTTCCTCTTATTGGCTATAAGTTGATAACTCAAATAATAATTTTAATTCGATACCTAGTTAATTATATAAATAAAATTAAAATATATTTTTAATGTTTACAGTTTACATTTGTAAATTGTAAACATTAAAAAAACTTATCTAAAACTTTAAAATCTAAAATTATTTTGTTGCATATTTTTTAGAAATATTTATCTTATGCTGAAAATTTACATATATTTATTATATAATGAAAATGACATAACAGATCAACAAAAAATCACTTTACAATAACCTAAATGTTAATTTATCTATCGTTCTCAGTGAAAGATATGTGCTCTTAAAATGAAAAACACAGTGTTTTTTTTGGTTTAGGAACACATAAAGAAAATGTTGATGAAAAAATAAACTGGATTCGACATCAGGAAATTTGGTCAAGTATTGCAAAAAGTATAACTTCAAACAATCGGCGCAAAATAAAATAAAAATATTTGAAAACAAACAAATTTGTCCTTTACGCCACTCTGCATAGTATTTTTGTTAAAAAATGTATCAATGGCTGGCTGTTTAGGATTGAATAGTTATAATTTGGTTAGCTTTTTTTCTTTTATTTCTTTTTTTTGTGCGTAGCATCACAGCTGTTGCTAGAACAAGCTTCTCTGAGAACTAAACGGATTTTGAGAAATCTTAATACCAGCCGGTCTCAAAATAATTAAACTATACTCTCATTAGGAGAGAGTAGAAAAGGTAGCCGCAAAGGAGGCACAAAGAAAAAGACATGAGCAGAATCAAGAAAACTAAGCGTTCATTATCCTATTCCATCAACCCTATCCTTATCGAAATCAATATCTGTTCTACTGCTTCCTGCCTAGGCAGGAAGTGGTAAGCGTAGTGAAATAGTGAATTTCAAAGGATACAGAGCATAAGTTATAGTCGTCATAAATATTTATGATCATTTGCTTATCTAACATATATTTATAGTCATTTGGTTACTCTAACGTCTACAGCTGGATGCAGATAACATCTGTACAAGATGAGTATTTTTATTAATACTATCACTAGTCTTTACTTTTCCAAAAGCTTCAAGACAGGTGGTATTTTAAATCACAGTTATCCTATAATAGTCTTTGTCTAGAAAAGCAAATCCTACAAGACTGCAAGACATGTTGCATGGTTGTACTCGATCGCTTTTTACTGATAGCACAATAATCATGAAAATCCGAAAAAAGAAACTACATATGAATATTTCTTTTATGCATTTACAATTATTACAAAATTAAAATTTATATACTAATATTAGAAATGAAAAAAAAAAATGACATTAGGGCGTTCCGTAATTCAATGGAGAAAATTTTTTTTCATTTTTTTCTGCTCCCTGGCTATTTTCCCATTACTATTGTTTATATAAACATATTGTTAAATTTTTTTAAGTCTGAATTAACGTTTAAGGTTGCCACCGTGCGCTAGAATTAATAGAATTTATGTATTTTTATGGTTTTTCCACCATATAAAAATCTATATTTAATGTAATTTTTTAAACCATACATTTTAAGTTAGTAAACACTAAACAAACATATAAATCAACAAAATTAATGGTAAGTTGAATATATATATTATATTGTTAGTGAATTGTATAGTATTTAACAGGATTGTATGTGACAAAAACGTGTTATAACATGAATTGATATCTCAACTCAATCCCCTTGTGCTACACTCCATTGACAAGTTGACTGTTGTTTGGTGTGGGTGTTTATTACATTGTTCAGGTTTTTTATGTATCCTTTTATTATAAGATTAAACAAAGATAATGGTTTTTACTAGAATATATTATACCTAACTTTTATAGATTTTTATTTAAATTATAGTTGGCAGCCTTTTGTTAGCAAATAATTTTACGTTGTTGATTCCAAAAATGGGTTTAATGTTACGTTTTTTAGCTTTGGATGGGTTTAGTTTTATCTTAATATAGTTTAAACAACTACCTAATATGAATACAATTTGTATGTATATTATAAATATTTTAATATAATTGAATAAAACATATATATACCTTAACTATTTTGTTAGTATATGATTGGTGATTGCTTTTGACACGGCTGAATCAACAATATCGAAAAGAAGACAACAGTCACAAAATATTTGGTTGGTAGGAAATTCTATCGATGCTCTGAGCCAAACAATTATTCCTAATAATGGGGATATTTTGAAATTATTTTTTTACCTTAAGAACTGTGAATTTAAAACTGAGAAATCAATAAAATCAAATTCAATTGTTGCTGATGCAGTATGTGAAGCAGCTCTAGAAGTCTGGCATAAGACCGGTATTGAAATCCAAAGGAAAGAAAAAATCAAAGAAAAAATAACTAAATTGCACGATGAACGTTCAAAAAAAAAAGGCCAAAAATCAAATGAAACTAAACAAAATAATTTTGTAACAATGCTTGAAAACTAATTTTTCATTGCCCACAACGCTGAAGAAATCATTCAGAAAGACAGACTACGGAACGATAAACAAAAAAGTTAATGCATAAAGTTTTTAATCGAAAAAAAAGTAAAACTAGAAACACAAGATAATCAATACGCAAAGAAACTAAAAATGAAAGATGAGCGAAGCTAAACAGAGCAAGAGAGGGCAACATTAGTAAAAAAGGCTTAAAGAATTCAAATATTGTACATTTAAGTTTTTCAGAAAGTGAAGCAAATCAAGATTGTGATTCATCCTCAAGTGAAGCAAGCATCAGTGAAATAATTGTGAAAAAAATGCAAAGTGATCAAAGAAAAACTTTGAAAAATAATCAAACCGATACTGAAAATAAGGTTCAGCTACTATTGCCAAAAAATACATTCTTGAATCCAAACATTTGCCAAACCGCTGACAGGCTGAACTTGTCCTTGGGACAAAGAACAGCATTTTTGGGAGCTATTATCGAAGGAAGTTGGTGCTTCCTATAGTAATGTTACACTATCAAAGACAAGTTTCTATAATGCCAGTAAGTATAATCGCCTAGACATTGAAAAAAACATCAAATCTGACTTTAACAAGCCGGACTTTCTAACAACTCATTGCGATGGAAAATTTTTTGAAGGGGATAGGGAACGAATGGCAGTTTTAGTTGCAGGTGCACCAAATTATGTAGAAGGAAAGTTGCTTGGCATTCCAAAAATCATGAATGGGACAGGATAGTCCAAGCAGAGACAAGCTTTGATCTCATTAAAGACTGGGAGTTGAACAAATCTATCATCGGTGTAGTATTTGATACCACAGCTTTCAACTGAGGATGGAAAAATGGAGCTTCTGTCATTCTAGAAAAAAAAGTTGAATTCTAAGCTGTTTTTTTTACCATGTCGCCACCATATCTTTGAGACTATTTTGTCGTCCGTATCGAAACACCTGTTTGGCCCAACGACTAGCCCGACCAATACAGAATTTCTAAAATTAAAGAACTCACAATCTTTCAAAAGAATGACAATTTTAAATTGCTGGACGTAAATGAACGTTCGTTGAAATCCACAAAAGAAGATATGATTAATTTTCTTAAACTGTCCCTCCAAGAACATACATTTATAAGAGATGATTATAGGGAACGCATTTATGTTACGTTGTTACAACTTGGTGAGAAAAATGTAAAAAAAGGGAGAACAATGGCTTAAGCCAAGAGCTTTCCATCACGCTAGATGGATGGCAAACATTCTATATGCAGCTAAAATGTATGCATTCAGTGAGTACTTAGGTTATGATAAAATAACAATTCTCAGAAACTGTATCACTTTTGCCTATTTACAAGCTTATTCTATGTAAAAGTTTGGTTGACATCTTCAAACACCATAGATACTCCTATCAACGACCTACAGTTTTGAAAAAACATGCAAATGTTTAAAAAAAATTGACCCAGGAGTAGCAGAAGCAGCTTTGATAGGTCAAACAAGTCACCTGTGGTACCTAAGTGAAGAAGTTGCACCCATTGCTCTCTTTTCAATATCTGTGTCTACTCATGAAAAAAAGAAAATTGCTTCAACAATTCTGAAAAAAATAAACGATGAAAATATGGAAACTGAAGTGACAGTAATGCCACAGATGAATCAAAACGTGAAAGTGAGTTCTCTAATTAGAAAAAATTTCAGGCTTCTTTTTGATCTTTTGAAAGTAAATACTAAGTGGTTTTCAATATACCCCAATGAATGGTGAAAAAATTATGAATTTAACTACATATCTGGGATATTAAAGGACCTAAAAGTTGTCAACGATTTAGCGGAAAGGTCAGTTAAACTAGTTACTGACTTTAATCAAAGTCTAACACGGGATGAAAGTCAAAAGCAGTGCCTTTTCCAAGTAGTGGAACAGCATAGAAGAAACATACCAAAATTTGATAAAGCATCAATGTTGATAAAAAAGTAGAACTCTTTTTAATAAATATGTATGTAAATGCATGAATATAACTCTGTTGGACTTATTGGAACATCAGTTACCGACATTTTCTTTTATAATGGAAATTCATATTTTTACAATTTATACAGTTTTTATTTTACTATGAATTTTCTTTTGTAAATTTTATCTCGCTTTTCCAAGTCTAAATATCTTTTAGTAAATTTGAATCTAATATAGAAACATTTTAATTTAATATCTGTAACATTGTATCCAATTGATTAGTTATATACAAATAATAAGGAAATTAAAGTTTTCTATAATTTTGTTTTGTTACTCGTTTCATAAACTAGTAATTACTTGAATCTCAAACATTTGTTTTTTATTTTGCATAAAGGTCTAAATCAATTAATTATATAATTTTGTTCTAGTAGCAATTTTTATGTTTAGATTCACATTCAATTAAAAGTATTAATTAATGTTCTGCATTATTATCCCAAATTCATAAATAAGATTAAACTTTAATAATTCATAATAACTTTAAAATGCTGGTCGCAATGTCAAATCAGCAGGTATTGACCTTAAATTTGAATAATGGTTATATCTTATCAAGTCAAATGAGAAAATTACCAGGGAGATCGTATTTTCCAAAAAAAAAAAATTTCTGAACACCCTAATAGACATGTGTCCTGTGGGAAATGAGTTAGTGACTAGCTAGCTTTATAGCAATTTGAAGCGATTTTTTTTTCTTATCTTATTTCTAACATCTTTAAAAATTCGATTTTTAGTGCTGAGCCTATTATAATTATGAGAATAATTGAACTTTAAACATAGCAATTTTGTAGCAATGTGTCGCTAGCTACATATCTTAGCTTTGTAGCTAGCTACAAAATATCTATAGCTGGTTGATAGCTAAGTATCAAAAATTTTTAGACACTAATTTTATTGCAATATGACGCTAGCTACAATAGCCAGTGGGTCTTTAGCTTATTAAGCTAGCTGTCCTCGTATCTAAATTGCTGTCTTTATCTTTATAAATATCGATAGCTTTTCGATAACTTAAAAAAGCAAGCGATTCTTGCGATTTCTTGATTTAATTTACAAGATGACCATCTTAAAAATGACCACAAATTATTACTACCAAAAGAAAAAAAAAGTAGTAAAATAAATAAACAACAACATTCTTTTCACTTTTATTAACTGTTGGCTTATACTGTATATAAAAGTTTTATTTTGTGTTTAAAATCCAAATTACAAGTATCTTGCAAAAAAAAATTTTGAGATCACTTTAAACTAATTTATATTAAAAGTTGAACTTTTGAAGTTGAAATTATTATTAAAGTTTTATCTTCTGCTGCTAACGAATGGACGTCCCAACAAAATTATAACTATATATCTGCAACTAAACATTTCACTTTTGACGAAACAAAGTTCATCAGTTTTTGTTTAGGCTTCGCATACTTAAATGGCCACTATTATGCTGATGATTTAAAAGATATTTTTTTTTAAATCTTTGATAAAATTAAACTGCATGCTAAAATAATGAGTGTAGTATCAGACGCCAGTGACGTACGCAACCATCTATGATATTTAAAGTTTGTCTCATTATTCAACGAACAAGATGTAGGAAACATGCTTTTCAATTAGCAGTTAAAGATGTCATAGCTTTAGTTAAAAAAGGTAAAAAAAGTCTTTGATGAACTTTATTGATGAGTTAATCATCAATAAAATTCATCTTTCAAACAATTTTCTCAACTTAATGATATTCAAAAATTCCAAGATCATAACCTTATTTAAATATTAAAAAAGATTTATTTAATTTGCGGAAATTTTTAAAAAAAGTGTTGAAGCTTTTGTGTGTTATATTTAGTTAATGTTCTATAATTTAAAGAATGTAAATACGTTTAATATTTAGTATTACATATAATTTAAAAAATTACAAAAACTTAAGTGTACTTACACCGATTAGTTGAAGCGTAACCGTGTGTTTTTTGTAAAGGATGAAAACCGCATAGATTTAATTGTGAATTTAGTGAAAGTGTTTGTATATATATACGCTTTCACTTTTTATTTTTATGGTAAATTTGTGAAAAATAATAAAAGTTTCTCTTAATAACGGATTTGCTGCTTAAAAAGGTTCATAAAAATATTTGCTAAGAATATTAAAAGTTATACTTTTCAACAGTAAAAAAAAAATCTCAGTTCCAAAAATTGGTAATGGAAATGGAGGTGGAGGATGTCACGCACCTCTACTATCACTACTTTTTAGAATCCGTATTACTATATATTGATAAAACAAACTGAATAGTTAGACATTCCAAATTTATGTTTCTTATTTCTATTAATTTTTCGTAGTTTATTAAAACAATAAATGAATTCTCACAGTAGTCTAAATTGTGCAATTTTTAATAATCAAAGCAAAAAGCCTCAAAAGGCTTTTTCTTAGGATGAGGCTCTTAATAGTCATTATTTTTTTTTTTTTTTTTTTTTTTTTTTTTTTTTTTTATTGAGAAACTAAAAATTTAAAAATTTCACAAAAGAAAAAGTTATCATTAAAAAGTTCTTTCAGGGGTTGTAAAAAAACTAAAAAAAAGTATACTCCCATATTCTAAGTTTAATTTTTTGCAAATGGAGATAAAGATTTCACTATTTTTTTAATTTTTTTTTCTTGACTCACTAGTGTCTAATATTTGACGCACGAATATTAATAAAATGATTATAAAAACATTTACACAAAATTCTTTCTAAATAAAACTTCATTATAATTAAACATTTTGATAAAGTTTATTTTCCATATATAATTAATTGTTTAATTAATAATTTAACAACATTTAATGTTATCAACGCCATAAATTTCAACAATGTAAGTTACATCGTTTCTGCTTTAAAGATCACATCGTTTTTGCTTTAAATAAAAATTGATTTTAGTTACTTTGCTTTTTTAATATTAAAAGAAATGTAAATAAAAATAATTTGTTTTATATTAAGTATTTAGAAAAAAA